CTTCAGAAGATTGGAGACTGACAAGAATTAGGCTTGAGATGGATTAATGATTGTGCATTGAGCATTGACCCCCCTATACAGAATTTTATTGTTGTTAACAACCATTTGATCAATAAATATGAGAGATGCCCTCTCAAAAAACAAATATATATATATATATATTCAATGTCTAAAATAAAATTAAACAAAACTATACTGCCCTTTGATCTAGAATTAATATGCAGAATAAATGGATAAGCTCACCCCCCAAAAAAAATAAATCTGTTTTAAAACTATTCCTTTTTTATACCAAGCTATTAATATCCCACCAGACACCCTTGTTTCTGCTGTTCTTAGAACTATAGTTGCTAGGGGGCAGTTAAAAAAAATGATACAATTAGAATTAATCTATTTTCCTAGCAGCCAGCAGTTCTGGCAAAACCTTCCTGCCAGGAGAAAAATAGAACATATACCATGAACTAAGGGGTTTTAATAACTATTTATGCAATCATTACTACAGCAAGATGTCTGACTTTTTAGCTCTTTTCTATGTTATGAGAAACAGTGAACCTTCAGTTTCTTACATTTTTTTTCCCTATAGGAAAAAATTTCAATCCAATTGCAGAGACGTCTGCTACACTAGCTCTGAAGACAACATGGTTTTAGGATGGTTAGAACTCAGATAACCAATGCAAGTTCTAGGCAAGGTATAACCAACCTCCTTGTCAAAAATGTGGTATACATATGCCCATAAATTGGAGGCAAACTACAAAGAATCCTCAGACATACTAATTAACTGATTATTATAGGCCTTTCACTCTCCTTTTATTGGTGAATTTATTCAGTCACTATTTACTTAAGTGTCTACTATGTGAATATAACTTTTATAGCAAATCTTTTACTGTTGTAGGAGAAACAAAAATTTACCTGCTGGGGTTCGTTGAACACAAACTGTCTGTCCGACAGATGCTCCTTGTTCATCCAGGTCTGACCAGGCCTTTGATGGAGAAGGTTCTTAGCAGTGGTAGCTGCAGCAAGAGAGAGAAGAGACTCACACCAGGGAAAGTCTGCTCTCACCACCTTCTAGTGAGCAAGGACCAATAAAATGTACTTAAGAGATAACCTATTTGACACTGAGAAATTAACTAGTAAAGTCTATAGAAGACCTCCACACACACTGAAAGGTTTGAGAGCAGTTTCTATGAGAAATACTAAAGATCAACCCTTAGCTTACTGTCAACAAAATCAGACAAAATACCAGCTACATTTTAAAATAAGTCCTTAACATCAACTGAAATACAAGTCTATTATAAACCAAAAGGATATAAATAAAAGAGGATGATGGTTGTACACACATGCTAGTACACCCAAGACCCACCCCTTCCCACCCACCCAGGTTCTTGCCTGGCTGAGCAACAGCCTGGCTCTTAGCAGGGCCAGCCCAGGCTCCCTGCACTCGGGCTCGCTGTCTTTTGTCCTCCATGTTGGCCATAAAGGCTTCTGCTCTTAGCTTTCAGAAGATTTCATTCCTGATTCAAACCACACAATGGTAACTGTTTCTAAAAAGAAAAAAAAGGCATTTTTAGTTAGGGTTATGAGAACGTGTACTACTAAGTGGGTAATTATAATCCTTTTAGGAAGTAAAGGTAGCTCAGTAGCAATCAGAGCTTCTATGTAAAATCAACTTCTGACATCACATCTCAATCAAGGAGCCTACTAAGTCACTTCCACCTGCTGGTTTTAATGCTTACCTTTTGCAATCTTACAGTACTTTTCCTTCTTTCACAGGAAAGGACATGTTAAGGAATTCTAGGATCTATCATAAACCACATTACTTTTATTAGTCTCCAAGAGCAGAACACAAGGAAACTGTAATAACCCTCCACCTATATGGACATTGGGAAATAGGCTGAGACTCAGTTTCCAAGCACATCTCCATATTCCATTACCACTCGCTGTATCAAAGTTCCCTGGAAGCCTGTTAAAAACACCCATAACCTACCTAAGATCTGATTTAAGATGGATACAGATGTTTGTCTTTGTAAAAAGCATTGTAGCAGATGGTGATGGCAGGTATACATGAAGCTCACAACGTTAAGTGGCTCACCCAGAGTCACTCGGGAAATCAATAATAGATAACATTCAAATTTTATTAAAGTTCCTGAGGAGGATGGGTGGGAAGGGGGGAATAAGAGGGTTGGGAGAAAGAGGGTATTACGATTAGCATGTATAATTAGCATGTAGTGGGGGGCATGGGGAGGGAGGTGCAACACAGGGAAGACAAGTAGTGATTCTACGCTGATGGATATTGACTGTAATGGGGTGTGGTGGGGGGTACTTGGTGAAGGTGGGAGCCTAGTAAACATAATGTCCTTCATGCAACTGTAGATTAATGATAACAAAAAAAATTTTATTAAGTTCCAGTTTTCAGCTAATTGAAAAATCCACCCCATATGGCAAGTAACACTAATTTGACACTTTTGACAAAAAAAATTTTAGGGCCCAGCAAATACAGGAGCACAGATACAAACAAAAACTAACAAACAAAAACAAATGGTGGTTCACACCACATGTTCTTCTGAACCTATGATACCGCTTTATAGGTCTATCTAAAAAAACTTCAAATCTAGTTCTCAAAGGGTACAAGCTCATTTTATAGCTTGTTTAGCCTACAGATTCCCAGGCCCCATTCCCACATCTTCTGATTCAGTAGAGTTGAGCTGGGCCCAGGAATCTATATGTTTAACAAATTCCCTCAGATGATACGTAATTCTTCTCCTTTAATAGGTGGGGAGATGAAGGCGGCAGCCATCTGCCCAAAAAAGTTAATGGCAGAATCAAAGACCAACTCTCTAGTCCTACAAGATATGTAGAGGAAGCCCTTGTTTGACAATTTCTCTCAATTAAGGCCATAAAAGCTTAACACGTCAATTAGCTACAGTTCCTGTTTTGGTGACAAGGGAGTGAGGTGTCACAACTGGGGACAGCTGTTGAAAATGCAGATTCCAGAACCGCATCCTAAACCCACTGTAGTTGTGGAGTAACAGCTACCCCACCTGCCATCCTGGTATTCTTGACCCAGATAAAGCTTGAGAACCTTGTTGCAGTGACAAGGGCAAGGACTCTGGCGCTAGCCAAGATTGGCTTTGATCCAGGTCTGTCACTTCCCAAATGCATGACCTGGTGGCAAACGACTTCCCCTTTCCACGCCTCAGTTTTTTTCCCCTATCAACAAGGAAAACAATACCTCTCTCACGGTGGAAGTGCGGATTAAGCGATCCCGGGAGGTGAAAGAGCCTGGTGGACCTCAGCAACGGTTAGCAACTTTCCCCATTTCAGAACCTTGTCTTCCAGGAGGCCCGGGAAGGAACCCCGCCCCAGGAACCGGGGGACGCCGGGAAGCCGCACCTACCAGCGGAGCCCGGCACACACGTTCAAACACGTAGGTCCCCAAGCAGCTACCTCCGGCCCTGAGCCTACTCCTTTGCCTGCGGCCCGGGGAGCTTTAAAACTGCAGCACCGACTCCAACTTCCAATCACAGGCCGCACCGCCCGGCATTTCCTCTTGACGTCACGCACCGCCGCCGTTGTAGCTTCCGGCGCCGTTCTTGAGTCCTCGTGGCTTAGGTGTTCCCGGGACCCGGAGGCCCGAGTATTTGAAAGTGCAGATGGGAGGGCGGCGATTGGAAGGGAGCAGAGGGACTGGGGGTGCGGGGAGCCCGGGATATGGCGCAGGTGGGAATGAAGAGGTCTCTCCTAGGCCAAGCTCCCCCGAACCCTCAAACTGGAGCCGTCAAACGCCGGCATATTTGGTTGGCGGAGAGAGTGACTGGGTCTCAGCGCAGCTAACGGGAAGGCGAGAGGCTGGGGGAACCAGATCACGATCCGCTAAGCAAAAGGATTTTAATTTTATCTTCAAAGCCATGGAGTGTAAAATGCACCTCCTTTGTGTTCCCATTGCATCCTGTGCATACCTCGATCTATAACAGCGGCGTTCCCCACGCCTTATTCTTGATGGCTCTCCAGTGCTAAGCAAATTTTGTTTGAGTGAATAGACCAAAATTTCAGTCTGGACCAGATACTAGGTGAATAATCTGGGGCAAGTACTCCGCTTCTATAAATGGGCATAGGTCCTTTTGGGAGGATTAAATGAGTTAATATATTTAATGAATTTGGCACCATACGTGTAACATTAGATACTCTATAATGTTGAGAAGTGTCTTCCATTCACCCCATTTGAGTTCTTAAGAAATTAAAGCGGCCATGTTAAACCATGTGTCTTACAGTGTGAAATTAGCAAAAGTAACACTGAAGTAACAATTATTCTCCAAGATCTACCAAAGCAGTTAACTTAGAAGTCTTTAAAATAAGCTGTATTATGTACTGCTTAACCTACAGGAAGCTTAGTATACACCAGCAATATACCTACATTGTTGCTACTATCAAATTTAATTTTCACAGCATCCATTATTTTGTTATACTTGGTGACATTGGAGGAAAACTGGTTTATCCTAGAACTGAAAGGGGAGAAAAGTGGTAAGACCAGACTATAATTTTTATCTTTTTTCCCCCATCAACTAGTAATTTGTCAGTATCTACTTCTGGCTCTGGAACCTTTGCTGTATCTTCCAAAGGATATCATTTCTTTCTGTTCAGTGATTATGGTTTTGAAACAGGAACAAAGAAGGCTGGATTGAGGGGGTCTCTAAAAGTAGTGATTAAGACCTCTTCAGCCTCCAAGTAGAACATTCTCAAATGTCAATCCAAGGTCCTCTTGACACCCAAAGTAACTGCATTTTTAATAGACTGACCTGCAGTTTTACAAAGGGCTTAAGGTGATTCCGATGCATAAAAAGCCTGAATACCTTTTGGACATGCATAGGGTGACAAATCACTGTGGTTTGTCTGGAACTTAGGCGTTTTCCAGGAAACAGGACTTGAAGTGCTAAAGCCACAACAGTCCTGGGCAACTGAGATGGTTAGTCACCTAGATACATGTGTGTATAAACTATTAAAAAGATGTTTTTTATGGGTCTTGGTACCTGGGAGTCCTCATTTCCATTTGCTGTATCTGTTCTTATCGCGGGTGTGGTGGAAACCATGGGAGAGGGAATGAAGGTGAGGTTGCCAATTATCAGCCCACTGATTCTCACCTACAAATCTATCTTTCACTGTCCTGCTTGCAATACTGAAACAATTCTCCCTTCCCATTTGGCCTAATATTAGGGTTCATCAGTAGAGGATGCTGGAGGGACAGTAGAGGAAAGGGCCTCTTCCTGATTTCACTGTGCTCCCGTCAGCTGGCTCTGCAATGTGTGGTGGTCAGCCATGCATGGCACCTCTCTGTGGGCTGAATTGCAATGTTGACTTTACAACCTTGTTGAGTTTCTCCTGTGAAGTTAAGGCATAGGTTGGGAAGGAATGGGATCCTAAAACTTGAAATAGGGACATCTGTGTGGACCCAGATGAAACTGACAAATTTGAACATCCAGGTCATCCTTGAGCCTCCTTGGCAGTGAAAGTAGCTTGCTCTCCTGTGCCTGATGAGACTAGCCATCCTTTGGACCAGATACTTTACTTGAAAACCCTGTGAAATCCTCACCTGGAACAGATGACTTGATAAGTACAGCATAGGTCTATACGTCCTAACAGATTTGTGCCTTCCCAGGTATTCTGCCTAGGTAGTGGCTACTCCCTGTATCTGCTATGTCTGTATTCTTAGAACTTTCCTTATCCTCTTGTAGGTAATACCCTTTTGTGGTTAATAAGTCTTTATTTTCTTTTTCCTGTTTGAATCACTGCATAGTTTCAGTTTCCTGTTTGATTCGTAATCATTACACTGTGATTATGGCATCAAGGGCTGGGAGCAAAAGCTAGCAAGTGGCTGGCCCCAGGGTTGACCTTAAACTCTTCAGTATTGGTTTGCCAAAGATCTGGACCCTTACTATTCCTGGCCTTTTACTCTTAGGCTGCTCTCTTAATTTTCTTCACCTGAGATAGCCTTCCAGAAGTCTTAGTAGGTTTTGCTGATTCAGTTGCCTTGCCTCTACTCTGAAACCAGTGTCTCTCAGTGTATGGCTGGAAAACCATCTGCGTTGGAGTCACTAGGAAAAGCTTGTAAAATGAAGATTCCAGGCCACATATCAAGATTCTGCATTAGTAGGTCTGGGATGGGACTCCTCAATTTGTATTTTCAACAGTGTTTTGTTTCATTTTGCAAGAACCTGTGAGAGTTCTACCTTTGCCAGTTGGCTGCCTTCTACAGGTGATCACTTTCCACTCAACGGTTATTTCTTCCCATGGATGGCAAAACTGATAGCTTAAGTGTTGGTAGCTCTTAGAAATGATTCTGAGTGAGCTACACACTTCAGCCTATTTTCAATTGCCAATGTTCACACAAGACTCTTGCCAAACATTCTGTTTACATCGCATGCTGCTTGTGGAGTGCCTGCTGCAGAACTCCTGAGGAAATCCAGTCCAAGGAAAATAATGGCCCATCAGGCTAATAGCTCTCAGGCAAGGTGTCGAATGGAGAAATTCCCAGACTGTACCTCCTTGGCAGAGGCTTAGGGGTCCCCAGCTTGAGGCGGGAGGGACAGGAACCTGCCCACTCTGAGGCATGTTTGCTTGGAGGCCTCCACATCTCTGCTAACTCTGACCAATGCTGAGGGAGAGTATGCCTCCCCAGACGTCAGACAAGAATGCTTCCTGGTTAATGCCCAGCATGATTGTACATGCTGCCAGAGATAAAAATCTTCCAATAAACCACAGTGTAAACTGTGTGAGGTACAATTAAAGAATAGTATGATCATATGTGAAATTGTGGAGAGTAGACAAAAGTCCAGGACAGGAAAGGTCACTAGAGGTCATAGTCATTAGCGAAGGCATTATGGGGAATAGGGAGTTATGTCAAAGTTTTACAATATATAGCATTTGGATGGCTCAAAGATACTGTATGGTTACATTACCCCTAAAAAGATTGGACAACATTTATACACTTTTATTTCTAAATAATAGCAAGTAATAGTTAACATTTCTTGAGAGCTTCTTGCATGCCAAGTGCATGTGATGTCAGGTAAGCTTTTATTCAAGTCTCAGCCTCACTACTTTTCTTGGTGGAAGACTTCAGATAAGCCCTTTCAGCCTTAATTTTCCTCATCTGTTGCATTATATGAAGATTCACTTGTATATTCATTCATATACTCCTTTAATCAATAAAGAGTATTGAATGTAGCTATGCCGTGTTAGATACTGGAGACAAAGTAGTGATCAATACAGATGTGGTTTCTGCCCTCATGGAAGTTAACTTAGAGGAAGTAGGTATTTTTAAAACACCCAAACATTAGTTACCATATTTGATATGAGACTCTCATGGGAGATCTACTTACTGGAGTAGTTAATGTCCCCAGTGTATGCTGAGCCCTAGGTTTGGTTGGGAGTTCTGATTTGGATCAAATTCAGCTGGCTAGTCAGCAGCTGATGGTTGGCTGGTCTAGACTAGCCTTGAACATCCTGTGGTCTCTCATCCTGGAACAAGCTCACCAGGTAGTGTGAGCTTCTAGTAGTGTTTTCAGAGGAAGTGTGTGCAAACACACAAGACCTCTTGAGGCCTAGGCTTAGAAGTGACACAAAACCACTTCATTTATTGGCCAAAGCAAGCCCAGATACAAAGAGTGGAGAAATAGACTTCACTTCTTGACTGGAGTTGTTGCAGGTTCACATGGCAAAGGGTATGGATACTAGAAGGAGTAGAGTATTGGAGCCATTTTTATAGTCATTCTGCCACACTAAGTGAGGGGAGCGTTGGAGAAGCTGAAAGTTCCTGTAGTAATAGAGAGTAAGGGTGTTTTTTGAGATGAGGTAGAAAGGAGTCAGGTCATACAAGCTTTAAGAGACATCCTGAGCATTAAAAGCTAATTTATATGGCATGGAGTAGACGATGAACATTAAACCCTTATTCTCCCTTCCTTGCCCAATTTTCTCTCCCATAGAATACTTTGAAACTGCTGTCAAGTCTGTCTGGTTTTGGTGTGTGCCCAAGAAAGGGGTTATTTTCTTTCAGGAGGTGAGGATGCTGGTCAGCAAATACTTAACAAAATCTTATTACTAAATAAATTAAAAGTACCAGAAATTAAGTCAATGACTAGGGACTATTTCCCCCTCATGCCTTAGGTGAGGATGCTGGTCAGCAAATACTTAACAAAATCTTATTACTAAATAAATTAAAAGTACCAGAAATTAAGTCAATGACTAGGGACTATTTCCCCCTCATGCCTTAGGAATAAATTATACATGTTCTAGAAGCAAATGATTATGTAGAGAAATACAAAAACTAAATCGATATGCCTAGGTTGTGTTTTGCCCTGAAAGAACCTAAAACAGTTCAGCTGAGGCTCTACCCACA